CAGACCCCCCCCAGTCCGCTCCTGCACCCTCGCCTCCGCCCAGACCCCCGACCCCAAGCCTGCTCTTGCGCCCTCACCCCCACCCAGACACCCCACCCCAGCCCACTTCCAGACAGGCCTCTCCCACACACTGAACCCCAATTTTTTTCCAGCCCAGAGTCTAGGGGGACCCACAAAATCTACTCGCCTGGGCTCCCCTGGGCTCTGATGTGCGAGGGGAACATGGGGAGGGTCTTTCTGCATCTCAGTCGGGGGCCACGGCAGTGATGGGTTTTTGTTTTGGGGAGTTTGTTTTGCTTCTCGCTTTTGCAGGGTTGCCAGGCGTCCGGTTTTTGCCCGGACAGTTCTGTATTCGGGTCCCCGTCTGGTAAAAAACCCAGGAAATACCGGACAGTTTCCCCTGCCGCGTCGGGGGAGTGAGGAGCGTGGCCAAGTTTGTCACGTTCGGGATTTTTGTTGAAAGCATCTGGCAAGCCTACGCTTTTGTGCAGCCCCCACCTGGTGTTCCTGTGGGTCAGAGGCCCCCAAAGTTCCCCTGCCCTGCTGAGCCGCTCTGCTCGCTAAGATCCCGTGCTAGGACATACCCCTCCCCCGACATGGTCAGAGGGGTGGGGCTGTGATTTTGTTGGGTGTGGTCCCTCCCCCTAGGCTGGACGCGTGTTTCCGACCTGATCCGAAGCCCTAGCGTGGTCAGCGTCATGGAGCTAAAGATGGCGCGGGAACCACGCTGCCATCGGGTGAGAATGCACCTCCCAGTTCCGTTGTCCTCCATCCAAATACCCCCGGAGCCTGTTTTCTCAGTCGGGCTCCGTACAATGGCTGTCGTCCTCCCCTCCTGTTGCCAGACCCACAGTAACCAAGAGGGAAAACTGACCAGCAATGAAACTGACAAGACACAAAGTTAAATACCCCGTAAGCTGGGGGAGGGGAACCCTTGTTTGGGTCGGGGGCCACTGACCCACCGAAAAACCAGTCGGGGGCCACACACAAGTGAGAAGCAAAAACAAGCAAACCCCTCGCTGCCGTGGCCCCTGAGTGAGATGGAGACAGAGACTCCCCACTTCCCCTCGCGCGCCAGAGCCTAGCGGGGCCCAGGTAGTAGATTTTGTGCGCTCCAGCCCTATGGGGGGGGGGTGGGGTGTGGGGGGGGGGCGCCCCCCGTCCGCTGATCTGTCGCACCCCCCTGTGCGGGGGTGGCCCGGAGTGTATGGGGCAGGAGGGCTACGAGCCCTTCTCTGTGCCACTCCCCATAGACTCTTCCCCCATCTCTTTCATCCCCCCAGCTACAGCGGCCTGTCCTGGTATTTCCATCTCTACAGCCCCCGGTTTTAGCTGGCGCAGTCCCTGGGGCTGCGATCGCAGACACAGATCTGTCGCACCCCCCTGTGCGGGGGTGGCCCGGAGTGTATGGGGCAGGAGGGCTACGAGCCCTTCTCTGTGCCACTCCCCATAGACTCTTCCCCCATCTCTTTCATCCCCCCAGCTACAGCGGCCTGTCCTGGTATTTCCATCTCTACAGCCCCCGGTTTTAGCTGGCGCAGTCCCTGGGGCTGCGATCGCAGACACACCCCACCTCCTTGGAGGTGACTGAGAAGGGCAGGGGTGCGAGCTTTTCACTGCAGTGTTTGGGGGGGTCCCCTTTAACCTCGCTGTTGGGGCTTTCAGCCGGGGCGCTGCCATGCTTAAGGGGACGGAAATCGTCCGTCGTAGAGTCTCTTTCGAAAACGCCTTCTCGTGGCGCATCGGTGGATTTTCCTCCCTGCCCCCCGGCGGCCAGCGGCCCCGCCAGACAGAGGGGGCGAAGGGGGTGCCCTGGTGATTGAAAGGGGCCCAGCCAGGGGCCCCCAGCTGAAGGGGGATCCGCGGCCAAGGGGAGCTGCGATTGCCCGTCCCTGCCCCTCTGCAGGGAAACAAGGCGTCTCCCAGCCAGCTAGTGGCTTGCCCTT